GGAGGACCAACAGGAAGCACGGGGCACGGGGCCCCGACCATCAGGCGGGGGAGACCGATGCGCGCCGCGGGGCCGAAGACTCCGGGGCTTGCCCTTCAGCTCCGGCGGCACCCCTGACGCGGTCGTCCCATCTGTCGTCCGGAGCTGCTGAGGGCGTCTGGGCCTCCGCACCCCCTGAGCCTAGGCCGGCGGGACAGCCCCTCGGGGTGTGGTCCCCTACCGCGTCCGCCCGCGGGACCCTTGCCCTCAGCCGCGGTTCAGCCTCGCTCCAGGGAAGCCGGCGCCACACGCCGACGCAGAGCCCTGCGCCTGCGCGGTCCCCGCACCTACGCAGACCCCGGCGCCTGCGCGGACTCGGTCTGGGCGTATCTCCGCGCTTGCGCAGAGCCGGCGCGTGGTCGCCCGCCAACGGGGGCGGGCCCAGAGTCGGCAGTCCATCGTTCGATCCCCTTCATTGGCTGAGAAATGAAGCGGTGGCCGGGCCCACCGCTGATTGGGCGGCGTGCGAAACAGAGGGGCCCCGCGAGCCAATCGCAGGGCAGGTGCGGTGCGAGCCGGGCCCTGGTGGCGGCCGAGCGCTGCGCTCGCCGTTTCGAGGCTATGGCTCCTGAGAAGCCGCCGGTGGCGGTGACCTGCACCGCGCCGGTCAACATCGCGGTCATCAAGTACTGTGAGTGCGCGGCCGGGGGCGCCGAACGCGGCCCGCGCGGGACGTCCGCCCCCGCGGGGGCGAGCCGGTTGGCGACAGCGTCCACGAGGGACGCTCGGCCGCGCGGGGGCGGGACGGGGGGGTGCGCGTGGCCCCAGGACGGCCGGCCCCGCGGCGGACGCCGACAGTGCCCGGCACACGGGGGCTGGGCTCCCTCGGCCTCCCGCAGCGGGCCGGCCGGGGGCCGCTGCCCGGGTCTCCTGCCGTCACCCGAAGGCCGCCGCTGGCGGAGGCACAGCCTGTGTCGCTTTGCGGAGTGCCCTCGTCGCGGCGGGTCCGGAGACGCGTGCGGGCGGCTGCTCACGTCGTCCCTGGCCTCGCTCAGCCTGAGCCCTGTCGGCTGGTGGCGGCGCCGCACACGATCCTTGGCAGCTGGGCTGTTTCCAGGTTGAGCTTTACCGCGAATCGAGCGGCTGCAAAACTGTGCACCAGGGCTTGTGTGAGGACAGGTTGTCATTCTTTGGGGACCGATGTCCAGGAATGCCTCTGCTGCGCCACTGGGTAGTTGCACTTCAGTTTTTTATTTTTTTTAAAAAAATTTAAAGATTTTGTTTATTTGAGAGAGAGCGCACGTGCACAGGTTGCGGGGAGGAGCAGGGGAAGAGGAAGAAGCAGGCTCCCTGCTCAGCAGGGGCCCCCCTCCGGCTCGATCCCAGGGCTTTGCGATCAGGACCTGAGCCGAAGGCAGGCGCTTCACCCACTGAGCCACCCAGGCGCCCCCGCTTCTCCCGCTTCCTCTGCCGTTCCCCCACTTGTGCTCTCTGATCCTCTCTCTCTGCCAAATGAATAGATGAAATCTTAAAAAAAGTAAAATAAACACTTCCCACCCCACTTTGCATTCCCACCAGCAGTGTCCGTGTGGTCCAGCTCTTCAGCCTGTGGTGGTGTTGTCAGCTGTTATTTGAGCTGCTCTCATCGGCGGGGTGACATCTGGCTGTGGGTTTCGGGCTAGGGATACCGAACACCTGCTCTCCCGCTTACCTGTCACCTGCATGTCCTCATGCCCATGTTCTGCTTGGACCGCGCCCTTTCTTACCGTGGAGTTTTGAGAGTTTGCGATATATTCCACTAATCCTTTGTTGGACGCGGGGTTTGCCAATATTTTCTCCCACTCCGTAGCTTGTCTTCTCACCCTTCTAACAGGGTCTTTCAAAGAGCCAAAGTTGTTAAAGTTTTGGTGAACTCCAGTGTGTCAGTTTTTCCACGAGTGGGTCATGCTTTTGGTGTCAAGTCAGACGCATTTGCCCGGTCCTACAGCCTAAAGGTTTTCTCCCGTGTGTTTTTCTAAAGGTTCTGTAGTTTTATGTTTTAAATTTTAAGTCCCCACCTTGAATTGTTTCTCTGTGTAAGGCACGGGAGTCGGGTTGCAGTCTTCGTCTGGCCTCTGGATGTCCCGTTATCGGGGCAGCATTTGCTGAGAAGGCCGTTCCTCTCGTTTGCATTGCTTCTGCACTCTGGTCACAGATGAGCTGGGCGTGTTTGTGCCGGTCCGTGTCTGTGCCGTCTCGGGTCACCTGCCAGGCGGTAGTCATTACCACCCCCTTAACTGTCCACCCTCCCAGCACCGCACGCGCAAGCGCAGTGTGCTGTGACTGCTTCACCGAGAGATCCGCCGCTTCCCCCTCCACGAAGGTTTCCTTTGTCGCTGGTGTGCGGGCAGTGGGGGCGGTCCCGCGTGTCTCCAGGGCGTGAGAGCAGAGAGCTTGGGGGCGTTTTCTGTAACCAGGGCTCCTCCTGTGTGGGAGGCAAGAACCTTACCATCAGAATGCTCAGGGCCTGGAAGGCACTTCAAGGTAATTCGTTGAACAGATGAAACAAGATTAAACAGAAGCGTTGAAGCAGGGGGATGGGCTGGCCTCCGGCTCCGCTCTGGGAGCGGGAGCCCAGTGAAGTGGGGAGCAATCCAGGAGGACTTCCTGAAGGTGAGGGCACAGGAGGAAGAGGACGTATCCGGTGCAGAGAGCAGGCTCCCGGCAGATGGGGGAGCACTGGTGGGGAGGAGTGAGGGCAACAGCGTGCTGGTTTGCAGGGCTGGGAAGTGGACTGGCCTTGCCTTGGGTTGTTTGTTCCAGGGGGAAAGCGAGATGAGGACCTGATCCTACCCATCAACTCCTCTCTGAGTGTCACCTTGCACCAGGACCAGGTTAGTATGGGTCGGCACCAAACACCAAAGCAAGTATCTACCACACTTCTTTTGTTGAACTTTTGTGTGACAGTTGGATTGGTAGCAATAACTCCGTAGCCAGTGACTGTTACACACACACACACACACACACCCCATTAGGACTGTTCTTCACATGCACTCCCGTGCTCCCTGGTCTCTGGAGGTCCGCATCCCTTCCTCCTGGAGCCGTGCCCAGTGGCTCTGCTGTGGGCCATGAAAGTGTGGGCTGCACCCTGCGTGCTGGAGACCAAGCCTGGCACCGAGCCTGCTGTGTGGCTTGGGGCCTTCCTCACTGCCCGGCCTGGCCTGCTGGGCCTCAACAGCCCTGTTCTCCAGTAAGGCCGTCCCTGCCCCTGAGTGGGGCATAGGAAGGCCCTCCCCAGTGGAGGGGGCTGTTTAGCTGGCACCCGCCCCTGAGGTGGCCTGTGTTTTCTTTCCCAGTTGAAAACCACCACCACAGCTGCCATTAGCAAGGACTTCACCGAGGACCGAATTTGGCTGAATGGCCAGGAGGAGGACGTGGGGCAGCCCCGCCTCCAGGCCTGCCTAAGGGAGAGTGAGTGGGGTCCCGAGAGGGACGCGTGCAGTGCTGGGGCCAGGCCAAGCTGGTTCCTTACTCCACTGTCCCTTCTTCGCTCTGGGCTGGGTCTGAGGGCACAGAAGGTGCTGCTGCCTCCTGGCTCCCCTGACTTCCCACCGCAGCCCGGCCCCTTTTGGTGGGGGGAGGGGGATGCCTGTTAGCATAGCCGGAGCCAGGTGTGGGTCTGGCGCTGGGGTCTGGGGCTTTGCCCTGAGCAGGAGGCCCGCACCAAGTCTGGGCAGAGGCCCGGCTTCAGCGGTGCCGCTGCTTCTTCCTGACTCGTGGCAGGTGAGTTGCCAGGAGCAGGTCGGGGCCACTCTGCCCAGTGACTGTCTCCCCCGTCCCTTCAGTCCGCCGCCTGGCCCGGAAGCGGAGGAGCGCCGGTGATGAGGACCCACTGCCCCTCAGCCTCAGCTACAAGGTTCACATCGCATCAGTGAACAACTTCCCCACAGCCGCGGGCCTGGCCTCCTCAGCGGCAGGTTATGCCTGCCTAGGTGGGTGCCCACAGGAGACCCAGGGCCCCTAGGGTGCTGTGCTGCGGCAGGCGGCACTTCACACGCTCACAGCCTTCAGGGACCCGAGGGCTAAAATCTTCCCCGGGGTCTGTGTGTAGAATCCTCTAGGTTGTATGTGTCAGAAACCCATCTCCAACTTGCTTAAGCCTAAGATAGGGCCAGTTTCTTGGCTTAACTGGCTCCAGGTGCAGCTGGCTCCAGGTGCTCCGACAGGCTCATTGGGAACCTGTCTCCCTCCCTCCAGACCCCTGCTCCGCTTTCCTCTGTGCTGGCTCACTCTCCAGTAGCCCCCGCCCCCACCCTGGGGCAAAGCTGGGCACCACAGGGGCAGGCGGTGGGCTCACCATGTGTGGCCTAGCAGAAACCCCAGGGGTGATACTTACTTGCTCAGCCAGTTCATGTGCCCATGCTTAAGCCACCCTCGATGACTGGCCAGGGCAGGAGGACACGCAGTGGTGGGGACAGAGAGCTTGCCTTGTGGGCCCCCAGCTCTGTATCCTGGCTATAGACCCTTGGCCAGACCCAGCCCTGCTCCCTGACGCCCAGCACTACCAGCTGCCATGCTCATGCCCGCTTTTCAGGCCTCGCTGCTTTGGTCTCTGCTCCACATGGCTTTTTAAAGTCTTCATCCCTACCCCACCCATCTGAGCCCCCTCTGCCCTTCACCCTGTGCCTACAGCATATGCCCTGGCCCGGGTCTACGGGGTTGAGAGTGACCTCTCGGAAGTGGCTCGCCGGGGCTCAGGCAGCGCCTGCCGGAGCCTGTATGGTGGCTTTGTGGAGTGGCAGATGGGGGAGCGGGCCGATGGGAAGGACAGCATAGCCCGGCAGGTGGCCCCGGAGTCACACTGGCCCGAGCTCCGAGTCCTCATACTTGTGGTGAGTGAGGCTGGGAGGGGGCGGTTCCTCCTGGCCTGTGGGCTCCCCAGGTGGTAGAGGCACCTGGAGAAGCTTTGAGTGACTCCCCGCAGCAAAGGGGCTACTGTTCCCAGGCCTGCCCTGTCTGCCGAGGGAGGCGACCTCTGTGGCTGGGCGGGGGGGGGGGGGGGACGGGTTGGATGTTTCAGGCTGGGGGCTGCAGGGTGGGGTCCAGGGTATTTCTCTTGGTGCAGGTGAGCGCGGAGAAGAAGCTGATGGGCAGCACCGCAGGCATGCAGACCAGCGTGGAGACCAGCTCCCTGCTCAGGGTAAGGCTGGTGGCGGGATGGGTGAGCGGTGGCCCAGGGCACGTCCTGCACATCGCAACACACAGCAGGCTCCACCTGCATCCTTCAAAGCCAGGCTGCTCTGCTCGGCTCAGCGCCCCCAGCAGAGCCCCTGGCCGCCCTGCAGGGCCAGGGCTCTGACCGGGGGAACGGCTGCATCTCACGGGAATGTGCCTTGCAGTTCCGGGCTGAATCGGTGGTGCCAGCACGCATGGCAGAGATGACCCGCTGTGTCCAGGAGCGCGACTTCCAGGGTTTCGGCCAGCTGACCATGAAGGACAGCAACCAGTTCCACGCCACCTGCCTGGACACCTTCCCACCCATCTCTTACCTCAGCGACACCTCCAGGCGCATTATCCAGCTGGTGCACTGCTTCAACGCCCACCATGGGCAGACCAAGGCAAGGCCGGGTGGGGGGCAGGTGGGGGCTGACGCCATTCTGCCGGCTCCCCAGAGTTGCGGCGTGTTCCCTGGGACAGCCCTTGGGCCCAGAGCTGCTGCCAGAGAGCCCAGCTGTGGTCGAGCACAGGCCGGCCGAGACAGGGCTTCTCGGCTCCCGCTGTCCCCTGCGGTCTGCAGGCGCTTTGTTTTTTGGCCGGTTCAGGGGTGTGTGGCGCACACGTGAAAACGCTGATCCTGAGCTGATGGGCAGAGGTGCCGTGGCTCCACGGCAGGCAGCTCGCCTGGGCCCGGCTCGGCCGTGGGCAGCCGTGGGTCTCCGTGTGAGCCGGGCCGGCCACTCTGCAGACAGTCAGCACTGACCACGTGGGTTCCAGGTGGCGTACACATTTGACGCGGGCCCCAATGCCGTGGTCTTCACCCTGGAGGACACTGTGCCTGAGTTCGTGGCTGCCGTGAGACAGTGCTTCCCCCCCGAGTCGAACGGAGACAAGTGAGTTGGGGGTCTCCCACATTTGGGCGGCGTGGAGGGAGGAGCAGGGTCTCCTGCTGAGATCTGGGACGGTGGCCCCTGAGGCCGTGGTGCTGAATGGGGTCCCATGGGAGTTTCAGTCCCTGCAGGGACCCCAAGCAGCGTGCCACCAAGGGTGCCTCCCTGTGGCCATCACGTGTCACAGCCCGGTGGCCTCACGTGCAGGTGCACGCAGTATAATGGCTCCTGGGAGCGGTGCCTGCGGCCTCGCGGTGACGGCTGGGCCTTTGGACTTGTCTCTTCCAGTCGTTTTCCGCGCAGGGACGCCTCCCTGCTAGGGGTGCAGGGAGTAGGTGGGGTCGGTTTATGTGTCACCGCCGTCGGGGCGACACTGACTTGTAGTGGGTGGGGCTAGAAGGCTGACTTCCTCACCGTGGACAGACCCCATGACCAAGGACGGCCCCCCAGGCAGCTGGTGTCCTTCGGGGGACTCTGAACTCATTGCTCTTGTCACCCCGTGGGCGGTTTGCAGGCTTTCACGTTCTGGGGAGCAAGGCCATGGACTGACGCTCGGACTGAGGTGTTGCCTTCGTCTTCTTTTTTTTCAAAGATGTTATTTATTTGAGGGAGGGAGAGAGCGTGAGTGGGGGGGAGAGCGGAGGGAGAGGGAGAAGCAGACTCCCCACTGAGCACACAGCCCGACACGGGCTCGATCCCAGGACCCTGAGATCATGGCCTGAACTGAAACCAAGACTTGGTTGCTCAAACGCCTGAACCACGCAGGCGCCCCATGAGGTGCTTCCTTCTTGACCTTGGTCCCCCCCCCCGGGCCAAGCAGGGGCCACGGGTGAGGAGTGGAAGGAGGAAACCCAAAGCCCCCCTCCTGGCGGGCCCGCCAGGCACTTGTTCACTTGTGCTGGCCTTCGTGGGCAAGGTCGGATACACACCACGTACCGTTAGCGTTTACGCAGCCTTGGAGTGTGGGCCCCGGGGCTGTGCCCACACACGGGTTGTTAGCTTCTGACCTGTACTTACCTGCCTCTCCCGTTATCTCCATCTGGTTCCGGGGCTTCTGCGTCTCCCCAGAAGAGCCTTGCCCCCCTCCCCCAACCACCACAGCCACCAGTCTGCTTCCTGTCTTGTATCTGCTGTCTGCATACCTCCCGTCCATGGCCTCCGGACCTGCCTACCTGTCTTTCCCCAGGTTTCTGAAAGGGCTGCCCGTGAGGCCTATCCCACTCTCGGACGAGCTTAAAGCTGCGCTGGACGTGGACCCCACCCCCGGCGGTGTCAAGTACATCATTGCCACCCAGGTGAGGCCCAGCAGCCCCGCTGACTGAGGGGGGCGCCTCCAGCCTTGCCCAGGCGAAGGGGCTCCCTTCAGCTGCCATCTTCCCAGTTGGCTGGGAAGCCGACTTGCCAAGAGTAGGAGCAGAAGACGCAGTGACATTACCTTTGGGTTTTCAGAGCATGTAGTACAATGTGGCTTGTCCCATTCACTCACTTACCCTGCAAGTGGATGTTTAAGGACCCCCGGCATTGTGGGGTGGTATTCTCTGTGCTGAGGGGGCAGACTTAAGGAGACATGTAGGTGCTGGGGGTCCTGGGGACCTTTATGGCTCACCGGACAGGATCAGGTCAGAATCCCTGTTTGAATGCCTGAGCCAGCATTTCATTGAGATCTGTCTGATTCTAATTCCTGTGACTTGAGCCCCCAGGCCCTTCCACTTGGGACATGCTGTCTACCCCGGGTCTGGGTGATGGGGGTCAAGCGACAGGGTGCCCCGTGTGGGCCAGGGTGTCAGTGTGTTACCACGTGGGTTGTTAGCTTCTGACCTGCACTTACCTGCCTCTCCCGTTATCCCCATCTGACAGGTGGGACCTGGGCCTCAAATCCTGGATGACCCTCACGCTCACCTCCTGGGCCCAGACGGCCTGCCGAAGCCAGCCGCTTGACTGCCTTCCCCGAGGGGAGCCCTGGCCACTGCTGGGAGAACGGCCGCTTCGCTGGGACTGGGGAGCTGGGTGTGGCGGGTGGCGGGTCCATGCTTGTTGGGGCTTGAGGGCTAGCCACTGGGCTCCAGGCCGGACCACGTGCTGTGGCCGAGTTGGGTCAGTGGAGTGACTATGTGCGCCACCCAGGCCATTGGGAATGCCCCCCCACCAAGTGCCTCACCTCGCCCCAGCCTCACTCAGTGCTTTGCCGAGAAGAGAGTGGGTATGAGCACCAAGGATCCGATACTGGGCACTGAGCTGGATGGTGTGGAGCTGCCGGGCACCCTTCAGAGGGCCCCCTGGACTCACTCTCCGAGGCCACTCCCACAGCCCCAAACAGCAGCTCTGCCGGACATGACGGGGAGTTGGCACCCCTCCTCAGAGCCGGAGGACAGGTCGCCGCTGCAGACCTCAGGGACCCCCCCCACAGAAGCTTCAAGCCTGAGACAGCCCCCATGCTCCCTCTGCCAGACTCAGGCATGCGGCACAGAAAGACCCCGGGTGTGTCTCCAGCGGGCGGTGGGCGAGCAGCACCAAAGGAGCCTGTGGGCTGCTGGGAATAAAGGCAGCGGGGCTGACTGGGGCAGACGTGCTCTTTTGTGGTTCCGGCACCAGCGCTCTGGGGCCCCTGTGCTGAGAGGCTGGGAGGGTATGGGCAGCGCACCCAAAAAAGCTGCTTTCTGTCCCCTTCGCTTGCCTGTCCGCTGCTGGCCACACAGCGAGTGTTCAGCATGTGGCCATGACCCATGTTCGGCGGCTGACATGGTCACTGAGGCTCTGAGGGGTGTGAGGAGGTGGTTTGGGTCTGGCTTTAGGTCCCTGTCCATGAAAGAAGGTGGGAAGTGGGTTTGCTGGTTAAGAACATGATTCCCCATAGCCCAGAAGTTTCTGGTTCCTGAAACCACAGGAATGCCACCCCTCCCCATTTCTGAAACATCAGTGCAATGCGAGGCAGGCTTCCAGGAGAAGGTGGACACCTGGGCCAAACCCCCGTCCCTCTCCCACCAGGGTCAGGGCTGTGGCCGTGGCTTTGGCCATGGCTGGGGGTGTGGCGGTGGCCGTGGCCATGGCAGCTGCTGCTGAAGCACCTGCTGGGCTGTGATCCTGACGCGGAGGGTGGAGGGAGGTGACAAGGACGCACTCCTGCATTCTGGATTTCTCCAGAAGCTTGGCACATCCTGTCCTGCAGAGGAGTTAATCCTCTGAGCAGAGGGTTGCCTGCAGTTTGACCTCCGCCGCACCTGCCCCAGGCCACGGCCAGATGAGGAAGTGGGGGCTGGGCTTGCCACTGTCCCTCGTGGTGAGTACTGGCGCCTTGTTCCCTTGTGGGGCATCCATTGTGTGGCCGTGGTGAAGGTTCTAGGCCTTTAAAACCTTCTAGGAACCAGCCTGCCCACACCTCTTTTGGGAGAAACCCCTGTTGCTGCCTGTGGGATCCTTGGTCTGGAAGCTGAGCGTTCTGGGGTGCCTCTGCCCCCTTAGGCAGGTGCCTCCAAGTCGCAGCCTGATGCCCGTGTGACCCAGCCCTCCACGGATCGCCCTGGTCCGAATCAGCCCAGGCGATGCTTGGGAAGTGGAGCACAAATGGTGGCCTCCCGCTCCCGTGGCCGGAAGGAGCGGGGAGGAGGAAGTGGGCCGGGCCTGGGCCCGGAGGCGGTCTGGCTGGGCCTGCAGGGGACCCCGCCAGGGAGGGAGGCCGGGGGCCGACAGGCCCCCCCACGCTCGGTCCCGGCTCTCAAGGACAGCGGGGCGGCGACGGCCCCAGCGGGGTACCCGCCTGCCCGGCGGGGCGAGGCTTTCCGGGGGCGGGGCTGCCGCTGGGGGCGGGGCTGCCGCTGGGGGCGGGGCCGGTCGCTGGGGGCGGGGCGGGCGGCGGTACCGCGGGACGCAGTGTCGCAGGGATCCTGCCGAGCCGTGGTCGCCTCCGCCACCATGGGGCAGATCGAGTGGGCCATGTGGGCCAACGAGCAGGCACTGGCCTCCGGCCTGAGTGAGTGCGCGCCGAGACCTCGGGCTGCGGGCCGGGCCGGCGGGGGCGCCGAGACCTCGGGCTGCGGGCCGGGAAGTGGGGACTGAAGGCGGGGCTGAGGACCTGCAGCTGCGGGGCGGGCTCGGGGTGGGGGTGGGCTGCGGCCAGCCGAGCAGTCAGGGGCCTTATCCTGCAGAGGGGGTTCGGAGACCAATCCCCCGGCTCCTGCCAACCCCCCAGCTGTCCCCTCTACGCTCCCCCACCCCCGCCCGGACCTCTCCACCGAGAGAGGAAGTTGCAGCCTGGGAAGAGGCGTTTCGTCCTTGGTGGTTTCCGGGGGAGTCACTGCCCACCGGAGTTGGGTGCAACCAGCAAGTGGACGCCCGGGGCGGTGAGGGGTGGGGGCCTGCTGCCCGGGAGTGGGGGGGCTTCGCCCAGCGGTGGGGAGGGGCTCCCTCTCTTCCTGGGCCCTGGGTGGCAGGCGCTCTCCACGTGGGGCCCAGCCCTCAGTTGCACAGAAGGGCATCTGGGATTTCATAAGGTGGCTGGAAACACTCAGAGTGACCCGCGTTCAGCTCTGCTCCCAAAGAGACTGCTTCTGGGGAAGGGTGTCACCCTGCCACGCGTGCTCAAGAGCTCTGGTTAGGGAGCAGTGGGGTGTGTACCCCAGCTCAGTACTCACAAGCAGGAACCTCTCAGGACTGGGTGGGGTAAAAGCGGGCCCAGAGTCAAGAGGGGGCCCAGAGGCTCTGCCTGGCCCCCCTCCAGGGACCTGCCACTCCCAGGAAGGGCCTGTGCCCAGTGGGGAATGTGCAGACAGCCCAGCACCATTCCCCTGGGACCCCCCCCCCCCCGAGGCCTCCTGCCACCTGGGGAGGGAAGGTAGACAAAGTCTCCCCAGCCCCCACTGTTGGATCACAGTTTAGAATATGGGGTCTAGCGGTGTGTTGTATGTCCAGGCAGGTCACCCTTGCTTTGGGCATCTCGAGTGGCCAAGAACTCAGTGGGTTGGTCACATGGTGCTCCTCATTGTCCCCAGGCTGTGTCCACTGCAGACCAGCCTCCCAGGAAGTAGAGGGTTCTGGGCCCCGGAACCCCATTCTTTGACGGTCCACTGCGTGCAGGCCGGCCGTCCTGGCCTTGGCTACAGCCTGTGGTGCCTTGGGACCCACACTTCTCTCACGTCCGCTGCGCAGACGGTGAAGCCGGGGCCTGGGCTTAGCCCTCTTCATCATCAAGTCAAATAAGACCGTTTGTTAGAAGGTCCCCCAGAGCCCTGCTCTGGTTCCTCCCTTGCTGACTCTTCTCCTGGGTATAAACTGCAGCCTCCAGGGATGGCTCAGGCCTGATGAGACCTTAGCCACAGTCACACTCCACAGACTTTTCTATTGTGGGAAACCCCATCTGACCCGATCTTGGCACCTGCTGCTGAAAGCCTTCCTGGGGTTTTCCTGTACACACACCAAAAGCCAGATTCTGGCTGCTCTGGGCCCTGAGCCTCCAGCTCCCTGCCTTGCCGGGACTCATGCACAGGCTTCCTTTCTGTGCCCGGATTTCCTGAGCAGACCGCAGGGCCTTTGCTGAGCTGAAGCCTCTGTGGCTGGCTGACTTCTCCATTTGTTTCTCAGCTCAAGATGCCACCTGCTTGGAGGTGTCTTTCCAGAGCACCAGGTGGAGAGTAGCCCCAGACATTCAGTTACCTTCCCCCTCTTCTAGTTTTTTTTTTTTTTTAAGATTTTATTTATTTATTTGACAGAGATAGAGAGAGAGCACAAGTAGGCAGAATGGCAGGCAGAGGGAGAGGGAGAAGCAGGCTCTCTGCTGAGCGGGGAGCCGGACGTGGGGCTTGAGCCCAGGACCCCAGGATCAGGACCCGAGCCGAAGGCAGCCACTTAACCGACTGAGCCACCCAGGCGCCCCCTCTTCTAGTTTTGATGTTTATTTCTGCTCCGCCTAACGAGACCATGAGCCCCACAATAGCCGAGGCCTCATCTTTCCGTGGCGCTGCTGCATCCTGCATGTAGTAGGACTTTATCAGCGTTTGGTGGGCAGTGGAGCAGTCCTCCTGGCCTTCCTGGTGAGTCAGTGGTGTCTGCCCCCCTCCTGCTGAGGGTAGGCGGCAACACTGCAGCTCGGGATGGGGAAATCATGCACCAAACACAAGTGAGCTGGCTGAATGCAGAACACCGCCCTTCCCTCTTCTAGTTCCCCCAGATGCTGACCAGCCAACAAAAAAAGTTAATATGTACCAGAGTTCAGCACCACCGGTAGGAAATCTGCTAGCCGAAAAGCAGAGTGAGGTTTCAAGGTGGTGTATCTGGGCTGAAGGAAGGGGCTCAGGCTCTTACCTGGTGGGATGTGGGGGCCTCTGTGTGGAAACAGGCGAAGCTGGGCCGCATGGCTGGACCAGGCTGGGGAGGGCCACCTGCACAAGAAACAGAGTAGGAAATGGTCCCCTCCAAGGACGCTTGGGACCCGCAGCCAGGGCTGGGTTGAAGAAGTCTGGGACAAGGCAAAACCATGGGAACTCAGGCCTGTGCTGTGTGTGGGGAAGGGCCTAACGTCCCCTACCCTGCGCCAGACCAAGAGATTCCCATGCACTGGGCCCAGACCTGGAGAAACCCCAAAGCCCCCAGCAGAGGCAAACGTGAAAATTGTCTGCAAGGCCGTTTGCTCCCTGGGGCCGCAGGAAGCCGGACCCTGCCAACTGTCTGCTCCCCCCCACTCCCCGCCCCAGCCGCCCCGAGGAAGCACGCCGCCTGGGGTGGACCTGCTCACACCATGACAGCTAGAGCAGCCAAGCCGTCTGGAAGACCTGAGAACGTGAGCACACATTGATGCCTACCAGTATGTTCCAAACTGCTCCAGGAGCGAAAGGAGCAGAGAATTATACAGCAAAACAGGACAGTGCAAAAAGTGAACTAATGCAGAACGTCAAGGAAGAAAAGTCATTAAAGGTTAATGGATGAATTGAACATGCTATAAAGACAAGAGGATTCATGGGTTGGAAGATGGGGCTCGGGGAAACTCACAGCACGCAGCCCAGACACAGAGATGGGGTTATTAAAGAGAAGCCGAGCCCTGTGCAGGGGAGGGGGGCACCCTGTGGGCAGGAGTGGAGGGGAGAAACCTGCCCCGTGGACGGTGCGGGGCAGGGGAGACCCTCCCCGAGGGCAGCAGCAGGTGCAGAGGTGAGAGTCAGGGCTCTGTAGGGTGGATGCCGGGAGGCCATACGAACGGGTAATGGGTGAGCATTTTCCAGAGATGGAGAAATCTCAGACTGAAAGAAAGCAGAGTCCTTTACAGAATAAAGGAAAACAAATCCCTTTTTGGACACACAGTAATGAGATTAGAGACCATTAAAGAAAATCTTAAAATTTGCCAGAGGGGAAAAGTGGCTTGGCATCAGACTGACTGCAGATTTCTCTAGAGTAGCTGCCAGAAGGCAAGGGAACGAAATCTTAGGTGCAGAGAGGAAGGGTGGGGTCAGGACCCAGGCCGACTCCTCCGGCGGGCTGCTGCCAGGCCTGCCCGGGGGGACCCCCGAAGGGTGCCCATCAGCGGGGGGGCGCTGAGTCCAGCAGACGGGACTGGCCACGAGGCGGAGGAGGGGGCCTTCGGGAATAAGCACCGATGGTAAATAATTAATCAGTCATGGCGCCCGCGGCTTGGGGCCGAGGCTGAGGCGAAGCTGAAGTCCGCACGTGATCCAGGAAGAGAAAGTTGAGAACTTAGAGCTTGAGCCCCAAAGACGGGAGAGCAGGTCAGCGGTTGATAACTAAAGCAGAAGACCGCATGGGCGGCATGGATGGGCCGAGGCTGGGCACGAGGGTGCGGGGGGCTCGCGGGCTGAGGGGAGTCTTGACGTGGGTGAAGAGCATGTGGGGGAGCACCTCCCAAAGTCACCGAGCTCACGTAATTGTAGCTGGAGAAATTGCTGGAAGTTCTGGGGATGCTCACACGGGGGTGTGCCTGGACTTAGGACCTTAGACTTTTAGATGGCTACAATGGAACATTTCATGTTACAGATATTTTACCGCAATAAAAAAAAGTTGTAACAAAATAATTTCTGGGGAGAAAAGATCAGATGAGGCAGCACCCCGCAGGCTCGAAATAGCTGACATCCGGAAGGGCCTGGGAGTATCGGTACGTGACAGCTGGGGTCCAGGTGAGACAGTCGGACAAACGGGAGCACCGTGCGGCCGGGAGAGAGCCTCTGTCCACAGAAACACGGACAAATGATAATGTCATCTCGAAACACGGGAAGCAAACGCTCCAAATGGAGGCGTCCACAGAGACCTGCAGAGAGCGGGCCGCCAGGGTGAAGACCAGCCCCACCTGGCCTCCCCGGGCTCCGAGGCAGCTGCTGGGACGCAGACCCGGCTCCGCCCGCGCGCGAGCCGCTCCTTCAGCGCCTTGCCCGGCTCGCTGCCCAGCGCACGTGCTGCTTCCTAGGGCTCCCCCCCGCCTGTGTCCCCTGCACAGGCAAGCGTGTTGTCCCACTGCGGAGCATCTGTGGCCGACTGCTGGCCTCCCCGAGCGGGGGTGGAGCACACGGAGAGGGCTGGGTGGGGGCGCCTCCCCCGGGGGGTGGGGGCCTCCTGCTAACCTGCTTCCCCTCTGTCCACAGTCCTCATCATGGGGGGCATCGTGGCCACTGCCGGCCAGTTCACCAAGTGGTACTTTGGCGTGTACTCCATGTATCCTGCCAGGGTAGACCCTGGGACGGGGCGGGGGGGGGGGGGAGTGCTGCCCCGCCCAGGGTGGGGACGCGGCTGCCCCTGCGCCCACGGCACAGTTTCCCGGGGCCCGTTAGACCCCCTGCAGCCGTGCGGAAGGCAGGATAGGGCTCAGTCGCAGTGTGGGAAGCCAAGGCTGGGAGCAGGGGAGCGACTGGCCCTGAGGCAGGCCCTGAGGCCTCGGGAATTCTGGGGGTGCCCTCTGTGCCCCCCTTCTATCAGCTGTCCCCCTGGGCAGGCCTGGGATCTGTCCGGGAGTGGGCTGAACCCCTGTGGCCCAGCTGTGACAGGCCAGAGGGCAGGAGAGTGGCCAGACCTGTTGGAACCTGTTTCCCAGCTGTCTGACCTCCAGGACGCAGCTGCACCCCTCTGTTTTCTCGTCAGCAAAGGGGGCTCACCCTGGCCTCCAGGCTGAGCCCGGCTGTTCCTTAACGGCACGTTCAGTGGCGCAGGCGTGTTCGTCTGCCTGCTGGAGTACCCCCGGGGGAAGAGGAGAAAGGGATCCACCATGGAGAGATGGTGAGTTCCCCCACCTCTGCCTGGGGGCCGAGGACACTCCTTCTCACGCTGCAGACGCCCTCCTGGGCAAACAGGCCAGAGCCCGCCCAGCCGCCATGGCCCTTCGGTCTCTGGGAGCGAAGAAGCCGGGGTGCTCTGCGGGGGGTTCGGGTGGGGGCTGCTGAGTAGTATACAGTCTGTCTTCTCTCTCCCTCTGCCTAGTGGACAGAAGTATATGACCAAAGTGCTGAAGCTGTTCGGGCCTCTCACCAGGAACTACTACATCCGGGCCTTCCTGCACCTTGGGTGAGCCCCCTGCCCCCCCGCCGCGGCCTGCTGAGGACCAGGGCAGCCTGGGCATAAACCCTCCCCACCGCCTGGATCAAGTCAGCCCCATCCCCGCGCAGATATGCTTCCAGACCTGCTCTGTCCCCTCGTGCTGCGTTATGGCTCCCGGCAACGCTGGGAGCCGAATCAGGAGTAGTCGGGGAGGGGCGGGGTCATGAGGCTCACCCGGGCGGCCCTGCTCCCTGCCGGGGCACACGCCTGCCGGTTCCTGCCAGGCAGGCCGCAACGCCCATGGGCCTCGGCGGCCGTGCGAGCTCCCTCCTGGCGCGGTGGGTGGGGGCCAAGCGCCAGCACCCCAAGAGTTGTTAAGGTTCAAATAAAAGCAAAGAGGACAGCTCCAAGGGCCCAAGTATGGAAGCCCAACCTTTCGCAGGACTGGGTGTGTCCTCCAGCCGGGGTCCCGGGGCCGCAGACCCCTCCTGACCGCCCTGCCCCCCTCCCCAGGCTGTCAGTACCTGCTGGCTTCCTGCTTGCCACCATCCTGGGGACAGCCTGCCTGGCCATCGCGAGCAGCATCTATCTGCTGGTGAGTGGTACCCTCGGTGACTAGCCCCAAGGGCCCTTGCCACCTCCGTCCCCAAAGCCAGCTCTGCAGCCTTTGTCCTTCGCTCGTGCTGTGATGGGATCGGTGACTCCGTGGACACCATTCGCCGCATGTGTAAAGTGTGCTAACTCCTTTATCTGAGCCTCGCCCTGCTTTGCAGACCAAGCAGTGGGAAGTCAGAGAGGTGACATGGCTGGCCCAGGGTCACACGGCCAGCTGAGGCCCAACCGGTGGGGACCCGTTTGGTATACTTTTTTATCTAACCCATTCTTGCTAACTTGGGGTGCTGTTGGGAGCACTTCCTGGGGAGCACGTTCACAGTACAGATGCCACGTGAATGTTTTCCAAAGCTGCCCCATTGGGCCTGCCCGGAGTTGGGACACATGCAAAGGTCCTGCGGTAAAGATGCACGTCACCCAGTCTTCACAGAAAGGCCGGCAGACTTGGGGAAGGATGGCAAGGGTGGAAGTCTCGGGCACAGGTTTTGGGCCAGATGCTCGCGCTTCTCTTGCGCTGGATGTTCATCCTTCCATTTGTGCGTGTTCTTAAAGGGGCGGCGTGTTGTCTGTGCTCTGAATGCCCACGGGCCCAGCCGTTTCACTCTTTGGGGACCCACCTGCCGGTCCCCCAACGGGAGCCCTTCCTGTCTGTTCGCTCGGCGGCCTCCTGTGTGTGGTCGCGAGGTGCCGGGGGGCGGGGTGCCTCGCCTGCATCCGGCCCCTGCACCCTCCGACTGTCCACCTCCCACCTAAGGCTGGCCGGCCTGCTGGGTCCCACTTGCTTCCCTCCGCCTGCGTGTCTGAGCTTTCTCTTAGAACTGCCCATCTTTCGAGGGGGCTTTTGTCTTTTCCTTATTAACTTGAAGGAATCTCGTGTATATTTTCACTGTGAACGTTCTGTGAGTGAATTTCAGACCCTGAAGATTTTCTCTGCCTCAGTGAGGTGTCTGTCAGCTTTGTGTGTGAGATCCTTCCCTGGGCGGAACAGAAGTTTGTCTGTTTGCCCCCTGGTTGGTGCCTTTTACAGATGCCGCTTTCTGCCCGTAAAAGCCGCGTCTCTCTGCACCCTCTTGGGTCCACTGTATAGATTCTCCTCTTCAGGGTAGATGTACTACTATTTAAGTTAGGAGGTCGGACCACAAATGTTCATTTTATTCTTCTGCTTCATAAGTGACATGACGTCACACTTTTTTATCAAGGATTGTGGGGTACAGATGAAAAGCACACGTTCCCAAGCCCTCCCAGCCCGCTGAGGGCTCTGCATCCAGCGAGACCCCGTTCTCTTCCCCAGCCTGCTATGGCGGGTGCCCCCAGGGAGGTCCCCTGCCCTCCCTGGCTGCCCCTGTGGGCCACTCCCACCCTGTGGTCTCACGTCCTGTGTCCCAGCCTTAGTCCCTGGGGCGGGGGGGGAGATCGGACGGGGGGAGGCCTGGTCTTGGAGCATGCACCTCAAGGGCCTCCAGGTTGCCCTCCCCCCACTGTGGGGTCCTGCCCGGAGAGTGAAGCAGCTGGGTCTGGGGTCCTGGCTGTCACTCCGGAATTAGTGGGTTCAGACGTGGGTCCTGCCTGGTTCCCAGGGGCTGGGGGCTGAGTTGGCCTCTGGGAGGCCCTATCCATCCACAGCCCCTCCATACCCTGCAGGCGGCCGTCCGCGGAGAGCAGTGGATCCCCATCGAGCCCAAGCCCAAGGAGCGGCCGCAGGTGGGGGCCACCATCAAGCAGCCTCCCAGCAACCCCCCACCCCGGCCCCCAGCCGAGGCCCGAAAGAAGCCCAGCGAGGAGGAGGCAGCAGGTGCAGTGGGCGTTTCTGGTGGCCCCCAGGAGAACCCGGTCCCGGTGATCGACGAGGTCGTGTGACCCCCGTCTCCAGCTGTCCGCCATGTAGCCCCCAAAATAAACCAAAGAGAGCAGCCTCCTGACTCTCCGTGTGCACCCCACTCCCAATCCGGGTCCTCTTTCAGCATAAATTCCGGACGGGCCACTTCTCGCACTATTTGCCTCCCCACCTGCCCATACCGAAGGGCCACTGCCAAACCGCCAGGCTCCCACAGCCCAGGACGGACACCACCCGCGCCACGCCGGTCACTGCCGCCGCAGGGATGCCTCTGGCCCGTGGCTTCTGGGCCTCCCGGACCCTCGGTTTGGAAGTGCAGCCCCTCCCCCTCCCCGTGCCCAGCCGGCCGTCATTCCTTCACCAACAGACGGTGTTGCCGCTGGTTCTGTGGTGTCCGTGGCCCGTGGGGCTCTGCCCTCAGAGCCAGCCACATGGTGGAAACTCAGTCACGTGCTGATGAAAGTGTCCTTCGGACCCCAGACAGAGGTCACTCCTCCCCCCTTCCCAGGCGCTTGTTTGCACACAGTAGGCCTTCATCAGGGGTGGAAATGGCTGGTCAGGTAGGGAGGTGCTGAAAACTGTCCTTAGATGGGCCGGGGAAACTGAGTCTCCAAAGGGGGGGGGTCATTGCCTCGCTGGAAGTGCACAGGCTCTGATCCCGGCCATTCTGCAGGCCGGGTCCAGAGGCTGGGGTGCCGGGCAGGCCAGGTGAGTGCTGGTGGGCAGAAGCCCCCAGGGCATCCAGGCAGCGAGACGGAGACCGGCCTTCGGATTGGCCTGGGTGTCTGGTGGGGCTGGAAGGGACACACAGACACTTGGAGGGGGCTGCGCAGTCACGTCCCCCCGAGCCGACGCCCCCAGCCGTGGGGAAGCAGGGTAGGTCCCCTTGCTGGAGGAGGGCCTGCCCGCATCCTGGCCAGACCGGGAGCCCAGCCATTCTGCGGGTGCCAGGGCCAGGGGTGTCGACAGGTGAAACCGGCCAGGGCATGCAGGGCACACACGTCTCGCACACTGGCTGCCCTTGGGGTTCACGCACAGACATTTCTGGAAGGACGCAGAAGCTAGGGCCAGTGGCCGCCCCTGCAGGACCGGCTGGGTGTCAAGGCCAGGCAGGGGTGAGGGTGAGGAGGGTGCCTTCAGCCACTGCCCTCTGCCGGCCGACGCTGTGCCCTGGGGGCATTTGTCAATTAAACAACACATTTTACACTTAAAATAAATAGGTGTTTTAGAAATACAGGGGTACTTGTTCCTGGGGGGCTGCAGGGAAGAGGAAGCTTGGGGGCCGGGACCAGCCTGAGGCCCGTGAGCGAGTGAGGGCAGCCCGGGGAACCACAGACGCGGAGGGGACGTCGGAACACCTTTCGTTGAAGACGTTCTAGAATAAAACGATTCCTTCTATCCCAACTGTCTGTGCAGAAAGGGTAGACCGAGTCTCGAGGTGGGTGCCCCCACAGGCCCCAGGGACACCGCTCTGCCCTTGCTTGGTCTCCACCGCCATTCCTCAGCCCCGAGGCCTGCAGCCTCGGGACCTGCCCGGGGACCCCAGGGGGCAAATAAATAACCAATAAATACACATAAATAGGAGGGGTCCTCTTCGTAGAGACGCCGACCGTCCAGCGTGTCCAGCGAAGACGGCCAAGGCCGCTGGTCACTGTGCCGACCTGGGCAGGACGCAGGTGCAGCCGACGGGCACGCGGATGAACTCGGCGTGGAAGGAGAAGGCCCCGGGTGTGGGCACCCGCGAGGCGTCCCGCGAGCAGGGCCGGCGGCGGAACACCAGCAGGCTCTGCAGCAGCGGCACGGAGTTGAGCGCGGCCGTCTCCCGGCCCGTCTTGGCGCTGATGCAGCCCCTGCACAGGCACTGGGCGAAGGCCAGCTTCTGCGGGTAGCGGCTCTCGTCGGTGTCCACGCTGCAGGGACAGACGGGGTGAGGCCCCTGCCCACAGCCCCCTGGCTGCCCCTCGTGCTCAGGGTGCTCCTCGCCCACATGAGCCGAGGCTGCGGGGCCGGTGGCACGGGGCCCCCACTAGTGAGGCTCATCGTGCCCCCCACGGCCCCCCAGAGAGTTCCCCCCCCACCCCGACACCGGGCCCAGCCACCCCTGCAGGGGCTCAAGTGTGGACCTCAGAATTGTCCCCGGGGAATCCTGGGGAGGGAGCCAGGCTGCAATCTTGCAGACGGTGGGGGGGGGGGGGGGGATGGCCCATCTAGCGGGGGAGGGGGGAGACCCTGAGGCTCAGAGAGGGGAGGGAACGGCCCCACCCCCCAGAGCAGGGACCCCTGTCCCTGGGGAGTCCTGCAGCCCTCACCGGTATCTCCAGGGCGAGATGGAGCGCTGGTGGATGTCGGCTTCCAATACCGCCTCAGGCCGCAGCACCGGGCACTGGGTCCCAGCCGGGGGCTCGTCATGCCGCCTTCTGCGGCCCCCCGCCTCCAGGCTGGCCACCAGGGCTACAGGCAGAGCCTGCTCCCACTTGGCAGCTCGAGCCAGCAGGTGTGGTGGGGCCTGGCCGAGGGGCAGCTCCTCGGCCGAGTAGCAGCGTGGGGTCCCGTGGGGGTGGGGCCCCCCCCAGAGCGGGGGGCCATGGCGGGCCAGGCTGGCGGGCAGCCAGAGCAGAAGCAAGAGGCCGGGTAGGAGCTGGTGGACAGGCATTGGGTGGTCAGGTCAGGGAGTGCCCAGGGAAGGGGGCACCTCCCTGACCTCCCAGCTTGCCCTATTTCCCGTGGAACGATGGGGTGCGGCCCTCCCTCTACAGCTGGGGAAACTGAGGCCCAGAGGGAAACTTGACCCTCAGCCCAAGCTCCCCAGAGCACCAGAGCTCCTGGGCCCTGGCTCTCTCCTGTCCCCAGATTTGGGGGGCTTCCTGAACCCCGTGCCAACCCCCTCTGCTTGGGAGCCGGCGGCACGGGGCAGGCGGGGGCGTGGGGAGAGGCAGCGGCTCACCAGGCTCATCATCGCAGCAGGGGCGCTGGGCTTGGAGAGACAGGTGCACCTGGCTGCGGGCCTGGAGGCTGCGGACCTGGAGGCTGCCCGGCTCCAGGTGCCCTTTATACCTCCAGCCACACCTGGGGAAAATCCGGAGCAGCTTCCTCCTGGGGAAGTGCCCGGCTGCGCTGCTTCCTCCTCCCCTCCCGGTGGGTCCCCGGCCCCTCCTCCCGCCCCGGGGCGGGCCATGCCCACCCCCACTCCTCTGCTCCCCCCCCCACACACACACCCAGAGGGACCCTGTCCCAGGCTGCCGCCTTGCAAACGGAGCCAGGGAGCCCACGGCTTCTTAGGACGGGGAAGTTCCCGCTGCTTGGCGCGATGAGTGGGGCGCTGGGGCAGCGTGCTCGTCCACAGGGCTGCGTGGAACTCCTCCAGGGCTGGTTCCCCAGCTTGTGGACACGCACTTGGTCCCGTTTTTCATCTGAGATAGTCCAGGAGGGGCCCCGTGTCTGTCTGCCTGCAGCTGCGCAGGTGGGAGAGAGTCCGGAAGAGGCTCCGGGAGCCGGGGGCCGGCCAGTGTCTTCAGGTTCTGGGCTGGGTTTCTGCGGATTCACTCAACAAATCCTCACCCTAGAAGCCAGAGATGTGGGTGAGAACGCCTTGGAAACTTTAAAGTGCCTGCACCCCAAGAAGCTGTATTTGAGGAGGCCCCTCTCAGGGCTGCAGGGGGGCTGCAGGGGGCTGAGGGGCGACGGTCCAGGCACTTTGGTTGTCCTGAAAGGGACAGTCGGAGGCCATCTGGCGGAGCTCTGGACGCCGCTCCCTGGGTCCCCTGGCCACCCCTAAGACACAGGGCCCTGTGTGTCCCCGGTCTCTCCTATCAGAGGCTAAAGCATCCCCCAGCTGATGAGGGTCGGAGGGCAGGGCAGTGACCGGATACGCACCATTCCCTAAGTCTCCAGGGACACGAAGGCCCCCTGGGGGAGCAGGGCTGTCCCAGGTGTGACTCTGGGCAGGGACCTGCCCTCCTGGCCTTGCAGGTGTCTGCACCTGCAAGTGGGCTGTCCTGTGCCCCTCTCCCTCCTGGGGAGCAGGAGAGGGTTAGGGGATAGCCTGTCCCTCGCTGGCCTGGAGGAAATGCTCCTTCCCAACAGTTGGATGGATAGATGCGTTGAGTCCCCAGAGCTGCTCCTGCCTACAACGCCCCGGTCCCTGGTCGTCAGCCCTCTGCTTGCATACCTCCTGCAATGGGGAGATCCCCACCCCCTGCATTCGTTCGCTAGGGCTGCTATCACTAAGTACTACACACTGAGGACACCACAGTTCTGGAGGCCAGAGTCTGAAATCAAATTGTGGGCAGGGTCCGTTCCTTCTGGGGTCTCCGAGGGAGGACCGTTCCCACCTCTTGCCGCTTCCGGGGGCTGCTGGTGATTCTGAGCCCCCTGGCTTGTGGCCACGCTGCTGCGACCCCTGCCTGTCTTCACGGGGCCTCTGCCCGTGTCTGTCTCCCCTGCTCTGTGTTTCCTAAGGACACTCACCTCATTCAGAACCATCTCAAGATCTTTACCTTAATTACATCTGCCAAGACCCTTCATTTCTTCACAGGGACTGGGGCCAGACCTTTGATGTATTTTGGGGGCTACACAGTTGAGCCCAGGACCCCCTCCCCAGCGCAGATGCTGGAGGTCCAGGAAGCCCCTCCCGAGGCCGGGCTGACCCCCGCCTCCCTGTCTCGGGAGAGTGAGTTCCAGTCTCTCCTGTGTCCCCCCAGAAGGCAGTGTGAGCCCCTTGAGGGCAGGGGCGGCGGTGTGGTGGCACCAAGCTGGTCCACAAATACGCTGTAACGAGGGGAAGAAGGACGAGCCTGGCTCCCCAGGGAGTAAAACGGCGTGACAGGGCCCCAGTTGCGGGGTGCTGGCAGGTGAACCCCAGCCTGGAGGCCGAGGGAGCGAGATGCCCGCTGTGCAGTGGTCTTGCCTTCTTTCTGGGGGGGGGGGGTCTGGCCGCACACGCACACAGGTGTTATTTATGAAACGAAACGGCTGTAAAGGGTCACTTCTGCTGTGGCTGCCTGACGGGTCCCTCCCCACGGGGGCGCGGCTGGAGGCACTGGGCAAGCACGGCGGCCCCCTGCCCATGCCAGCCCCCCACGGTGCGGGGGGGAGTTTCCGCCTTTTCTGTGCCTTTCCACGGGTGGGCACCGCGCTCGGCAGAGTAACCCTGGGACCAGGCTGAGCGCCCATTCTGCTTCCCGGCACCACCGCCCCTCGCGGCTCCACGTGGTCCTGACAGCGGTCCCCAGGGGGTTGGGGTGGGGGGAGAACTGGCCCAGCAGACCAGGGGCAGGGCCCGGGGGTCGGGGGTCTCGGCGGGCGGTGCCAAGGCCGGAAGGATGCAGGGCGGGGGCCCAGGTGGCACCTCATTCCTGCGGGCGGCTGAGGCAAGCACAGAAGTCCCGGGTTGGGCAAGACTGGAAAGGCGCTGCCAGAGGAAGGCTGGAGGGAGTCCCGGAGGCGGTGTCCGGGAAGGCCCCGCCCTCAAACCATGCCCCTTGGACCATGCGCCTGCCTCCCTCAGCGTCCTGCTGAGTGAGGCGGCCTGCAGCCCTGGGTAGACGGGTGACAACTGTCCCTGGGGGGAGCCGGGCAGCTGGGCGCGTGGGGGAGGGGGGGAGGCCCAGGAGCCCTGCCGGGTGCTGTGAGTGACCAAAGAGAAACCCACAGAAATTTCACTTTCACCAAACGAGCTGCCGCGTTAGCCTGACGTGTTCACTCATGACGTTGGAGATTGTATCTCACATTTGAGTGACAAGAATTACAAAATAAAAAACCCTCGTTTTGTTTCTTTTTATCCACTCAAGAGAGAGGGAGGCCGCCGTGGGGGCTGGGGGGCGTCAGCAGGAGCCAGGTGGTTGGGGAAGGAGTGTGGGAAGGCCTGAGGGATGGGGTGGGCTGGCCTGAGCTGCCAGAGTTAGCGTGAGGAGTTGTCAGGTCAGAGTTCCAGAAAACGGGGAAACAGCATGTGCAAAGGACCTGGGGTGGGAGAATGGCAAGCAGGTGGGGGTGGGGTGGCTCAGCATGTGTCACGTGGCAGGGCTGCTCAAGCTGTGAAGACTGGACCTGGACACGGGGGGCAGTCTAGCGGACAGACACGGAACTGGAGGGACGGCCCTTAATTTTCCCCACTATTTGCATGTTAACCACAGTCAGGATCTCAGCCATCATGTTCCCTAGAGCGCCAACATGCCTGAGGATCCATTACATAATAGAGGGTTTCCTTTTTCCAGATGTCTGGCACGGAATGTTCTTTCCACGAATGTTCTTTCCACCAGACTGGGCAGGGGGAGGGTTGGCTCCGGCTGTGGCCCTTACCCCTCCCTGGACAGGTACTACTGAGTCTGGCCCAGAGGAGCCATGAGCCCAGAAGGCTCATGCTCGTTTAAACTGGGCTGGGGTTGAGGGGACCCAGGGCCGTGGTTCCAGCCTCGGTGTCAGAGGCCCGGGCCAGGTCAGTGGGGCAAGGGGAGCTATGTGCAGACAGGGACATGTGGTGGGCTCACCTGCGGGCTCCCAGCTGGCTTGTGGGGTGCAGCGGCCCCGGGGGTACAGAGCACATGGGATCGGGCTGGCCCCCAACCTGCCCTGGGTTCTGGCTTTGTGTCCTCGAAGGCCACCCACTCAGAATGGGAGTTCCCTTTGTACCCGGCTTGACGGCAGATCAGATAAGCCTTGAAAACCTGCTGGGACACAGGATTGAGGCCACCGTGGCGCAGGAGGACTCACACAACCCGCAGGACGTGGAGGCAACACGAAACACCATCCACGGAACGCTGACCTGGCTCACCCCCAGGCCCCCAAGCTCTAACCGCCACCCCGGCTCTGGGCAGAGCCTGAGGGCAGCTCAGCGGGTCCCACCGGCAGGGGACAGGCCCCGGGGCTGCTGCCTTCTGAACCGGTCCCTGCGGCCCTCCCCAGACCTGGGGGCAGCAGCACACACCCCAGGGGGTGTCTGGTTTTAAAGCAATCTGAGCGCGTAGGGGTGCTGACCCCGCCCACCCCAGACCACGTGGGGGCGCTCGGAGGCCTCGGTGCTCCTCAGCGAGCTCACTCCCCCAAGAAGGGCCGCGGCAAGCACCAGGGTTCTCAGCGGTGATCTTGGCGGCGGTGGGGCTCTCCGCGGGGGCTGCAGCGGGCAGCAGGGCGGCTCCGCTCGGACCCCCTCATGGCAGCACGGCCACAGGGTGGTCCTGGGCCCAGGATTTGTCAAGCCTGCGTGCACGCACACGGGGGAGCCCGTGTACACACCAGCTTTGGGGCCGGGGGCCGGCCTAGCCCGACGACCATGCTTCCTGGCCTCTCCGCTCGGGCACCCATTTCGGGGAAAGCAGGTCACCGGCGCGAGCAGGAGGTGCTCCCGTGTTCAGGACGCCCCGCCAGGCCCAGGGTCACCACGACGACACAAGGTGCCCTGCCCACGGGGGCCGGGGGGGGGCACAGCCCCTGCGCCGGCAGCGCCAAGGGCATCTCATCAGGGCCTCCAGGAGCCCTGCAGCACCCTCAGCCTCCGTCAGCCGGGGCTGCCAGCACACCAGGCGGGCCCAGGCCCACGGAATCACCACCACCAGGGCAAGATGGCTGCTTATCAAAATACTTTATTTTAGGAGATCCCTCAAAAAAAGACCCTCCACATTACACAGACGCCCAACAACACCCTCAGCCTTTTTTTTTTTTTTTGGTCTTTTTCTGTATTTTTTTTTTCCTTTTTAAATCAACTAAAACAATCTGATGCTTAAAATAAAAGACAGGAAATATTTCCCAATCGGACTTCAGTCAAGAATATATATCTATTTTTTGACCCTGGGGCCGGGCAGGGGTGGGGAGGCGGCTGCTCAGGAGCATGGGGCGCTCCCGGGCCGGGAAGGAGCGCGTGCGGAGGCCAGGACGCAGGGCAGGCTGGCTGGCAGCGGGGAGGAAAGGCGGGCAGGCGGAACTGGGCACCCGGGGCTGATCATTTACATAAAACTGGTGCCGCGTCCTCGCTCCTGCCGCCGGCCGGCCTGCCTGCCTGTCTGGCGGGACTTCTGCTCTGGGATGGGGCTGGTTCAGTCTGGTCTGGTCGGGAGGAGATTGGGATTCAACATCATCTTCATCGTGTGTGGCTTCTTTTCCAGCTGAGAAACTTTTTTTTTCTTTTTTAATTTTTAAAAAGATTCACAGCCAAAATAAGACATTAACTTCAAAATCCAAGACGGCTGTGCTCACGCTAGTTATAAAAACACGAGAGTCTCTCACTGCGGCGGGGGCCGGGCCCGTGGGGCCCCTACACCTTCCCGGGGATCTTGGCCCGCTTGCGCGCGATGGCGTCCTCCACGGCTTTGAGCTGCTTCAGGAGCTCCTCGCGCCGCGACAGTGTGCTGGCCTTCCCTGATTTGGTGCCGCCGGAGATGGTGCTGGCAGTGCCGGCCTCCGAGGCTTTGCCGGGCACACTTGTGACCTTACTGGAACTCTTGGACTGGGGAGACAACTGGCGTTTCCTGTGGGGGGGAGGGGGAGGCCATCAGAGGGTCTGCCATAAGCCTCCTGCTGGGCAAGGACGCGCGGGGCGCTGGGCAAGGACATGGGGCCCTGGCGGCCATGGACACAGGTCTGCCTCCCGGCGGCAGCGGGCCAGGCTGCAGTGGGGAGTGCCCCTCCCCCGCCCTCGGTTGTGGAGCGTGAAGGGGGCACAGCGTCCAGGGCTCGGCCGGTGCCCTGCTGACCTGTCCCTCCTGCTTCTGGTGCTTCTTTGCGGCCTCCCCCTGTGGTGGCGAGAAATCCCATGGTGCTGACCCAGGAGCAGCCCTGAGGGCCGGGACATGTGGGGGGCTACACAGATGGCTGAGTCCCAAACCCGTCTGGACCACGACCCTGAGCAGTGGGGTGACAGGGAAGGGCCTCACAGCCGGCCTCCTGCGAGGAGGAAATCTCTGCCCCGCTTCCGGGGCCGACGGGGAAGGCAGGAGAAGCCGGGAGCACCTGGGAGCCTCGTGCCTCGGGGCCCTCGTTCTAGGACCTGCTGCGGGGCAGGAACGCTCTGGCTAGCCTGCCCTGAGGCAACGGTGCCCAGGTGGTGCGCCCAGGGCACGGGTGGGGCACTCACCTATCCGGCGGGGCCACGGGCACCTTAGAATTCTGGCCTCTCTGCCGCTCTGGCTTCGGGGAGCCGAGTCTCCCGCCTGACTTCCGGTCCCGAGAACCTGGATGACACGGGACGAGGTAAGACCGCGGTCCCAGCCCAGAGTGGGCTGGTGTGCATGGACAGGGTTGGGGCGGCCTTACCGGATGCCGGCGACCCCATGCCAGAGACGTGGCAGCTCAGTACCGCCTGCATGTTCTCACGGGAAGAGGCAAAAGGCAGAGTGGGTCAAAGGAAGGGACAGGGCAGTGCCGGTCACGTCGGAAAGGGAAGCCCCAGAGCCCACGTAGGCCGAGGTCAGGACAGGCCAACGAGCTCCCACTTATCCAACACAAAGACCCTCATCACTCACACCTTCGAACTGGGAACCAACAGGCAGGGGGGCATAGGAAAGAGAAGTAAAATCAAAAGGCCAGGGGTGCTCGCCGCGCTGCCGTCCAGTGAGCGCGGGGGCCTGTGGGAGGGCGGCGGGCGGGGGTGGTCAGCGCCTGGGGAGCACACAGGCTCTGGCACCAGCCGGTTCTCGGCCCAGGCGGGCGTGCTGCAGTCCCGGGCTCCGCGGCACCGGCAAGGGGCGCCCCCTCTGCCCTTTGCTTAGGGAGGAAGGATGGCTGTGCGTCGGCAATCAGAGCCGGCCGGGCAGAGGGCCCGCAGACAGCCGGGGCTGGACTGCGTGCGCAGCACCGCCGAGCCCCCCGGCCTGCCCTCTGCCCCCCGAGTCTGCACGCCCTGTGCCATCACGGAGGACCGAGCCACCGTCTGTCAGCCAGACACTGAAGACATTTTCAAAGAAAAAAAAAGTGACACTCCTGATTTTTGTTCGTTGAAATGTAGTTATTTTTCATAAAAAAGGTTATTTGTGTTAAAATATAATACTTTTGTTCCTGTTATTTTAACATTAACAAACGTTGACATTTTTTCCGGAGTTTCAACTTCTAAAACCTTAACATCGATGGACGGAACCACACGAGCGTTGGTTCCTTGGGGCCCACACTGAAGAGCACACGGGGTCGTGGCCCCTCCGCCCCGCTGGGCCCTGCAGAGGTGGGCAGCTCACCTCGGTCTGGGGATAAGTTAGCCCGCTTGGCCGGAGGAGGGCTCTGCCTGTCTTTGTCCGAGGGTTCGTAACGCTTCCTGCTTCCTTTCTCGGCCGCCTGGCACAATGGAGGGGGCACAGTGAGCACGGCTGGCCACCGGGCAGAACCAGCCCCCCGCGGGAAGCAGGGAGCACAGCGGTGATGGCCTCACTCCCACATCTGCTTCCACTAGCCCCTCCTGTGGGTGCCCGCGGGGCCCCGAGGGAGGGAAGGCCCAGGGTTTCGGGCCTTCGTTCTCGGCAGCGAAGGTGCCCGCAGAGACACCGTGTTCCCTGGGGGCCACCAGCCCCGGAGAGGACCCCAAGGGACTCAGCACCTCGCCCTCCCAGTCCTAGGGAGCCTCGGGGACGTCAGCTCACACAGGGCCAGTTACACGGAGAAGGGCCGGGGAGAGCACCCACCACCCCCGGGACGCTCTCATCTCCCAGGACATGCTATTGGGCTTCGCCACCCGACACCCACGCCTCCCCCACCAGGGCAGCAGGACAAGCGGGCTGATGTCCAGCCACCGTTCACTGGCCCCAGGAACCAGGATGCCCCCCGGGGAGCGGGGCTCCCGGAACTGCCAGCAGGAGTGCCCACGGCCTCACCTTGTTCAAGAGCGTCAGCTTGATCTCCTTATGGGTGACGAACGTGCCCTGCTGGGGCTGCCCGGGGGGCCCCTGCTGGGGGGCTGTGGGCTGCTGGGCTTTACCTCCAGCACAAGGCTTTGAGGACTTGGGCAGCTGTGCGGACGCGTCCCTTTTCCGCTTGTCTTCTTTAAGCCCATCTTCTTTTTTAGACTTTCCTGCCAACAACAAATGCTAAGTCACAGTCACCACCCTGGCACGGCGGTCTCCTGGGGGCCACCTGGAGGGTGGACGTGCTATCAGCCAGGCCACGTGTCCACGGGACAGAGCTGGGAGGTTGCTGCGCTTTCCTGTTTAACCAAGTGAGGCAGTGCACACACCCTCTTTCCATGAAGGGCCTGCCCGCCTCTGCAGCCACAATGCCCAGGACACGAGGAGCCCCCTGTACCTTTCTCCTTCTTGGTCTGGGCTGGGGTGGGGGACCGCGAACTTGCTGAGGACACGGGGCTGGCCAGGTCTGCGTACATGTCGTCTGAGTCCACGCTGTGCACCGAGCTACTACTCGACGTGGCGCTGGACACCGAGGAGACGCTGCTCACGCTCAGGGACCTGGACACACACAAGCACGTCTGCACCCACGTGGCCCCGACGGCAAGATGGCCAGGGGCCAGAGGCCACGGGGAGGGGGGGCAGCCGTGGGTGTCCACATCCACCTTCCCCAGCCTCCAGTTTCGAGGAACATGTACCACCTAACCGGAAACTTCAGGGGGTAAGGCGGGCGGTTTAAAGGTGCCCCGCAGTGAAGGCACACCCCAGTCACAGAGTCGAGGGCCCGTGCACGAGAGAGCAGCCACCCTGTTTGCTGGGCTGGGACATACGATGAGTGACTGGCTGTGAGTGAGGCTGGTGACGACAGAGCTGAGGGCCCAGGCTGTGAGGCCCGAGGAAGGGGAGGGCTTTGCCCCGCGGCCACACCAGAGCCCAGAGCAGAGGTGCCCCGGCCCCGCACGCGGCTCTGGGAAGCACGGGGATGGCGGCCAGCTCGCAGGTGCTGCTGCCACAGCCCGCGCCATGAGGACGTGCCACGCCGCGGGCCGCTGAGTCCGAGTCCGGTCACTCTCCGATAACACCGCAAGGACCCAGGCAGAAAGGAAGGGCCCAGTTCTGTTTAAAGGCGGGGTCTTTAAACCTCTTTGAGGGAAACCTGGGCTGCCTAGAAACGAACGAGAACGTCTGCTCTGGGATCTACGGACTGGTCTGACAGCGTCTTCTCTTCCAGCGGCTCGATGGCGGCACTCGTCCCTACCGGACCGGCCGCGACGGGGCGCCCCGAGCACGACGGGCGGGGGGGCAGGGGCCGGGGCTGTGCCGACAATGACCTGGATCTGGAGCTGGAGCCGCTGTAGCTGCTGCCGCTGCCGCTGCCGCTGACGGTCCGCCTGCAACACAGACCAGGCCCGTGTCACCAGGCGGCTCGCGGGGCGTGCGCTGTCCCCTCGGAGCGAGATGCCAACCCCGTCCTCGGCATATCCTGCAGCAGCCCCACCTCCTTCTAGGGGAGACCTGTCGAGGGGCGCCTGCCACCCGCGCAACCACACCTTTGGCGCGCAGGCGCTCGCACCTCCCATCGTGGTCAGGGGAAACCGAGGCTCAAGCACGCGATGTGACAGGACAAGGACTGAACAGCCCCCCCACCCCCCGGCCCCAGCTCGAAGCCCGTTCGCTCACCTCCTGGGGGGGGTCCTAGCTTGCCGCTCCCTCCTCCGGGCTTCCCGAGGGTCTCCTGGCTTGGCGGGCTCGGGGGCTGGAGCAGTGGTTTTGGGGGCCTGTGGTGGGGCTGGAGGTGGGGCTGGCTTCTTCACAGACTTCTCTCTGTGACAGGAGAAGGGGGGAGGGTCACACCCGGCCGCACAGGCGGAGGACGGGTCCATCTGAAGAGCCCCCGAGAACCACAGAGCCGGCGCTGTGCTTCCTCAGGAACGTGCCCCCCGGCCCCCTGCCCTGCTCACGGGCCAACCTCCGAGGGCGCCAGCACCGCTCACATGTGGGACCCCCACTGCAGTATAGAGAACGGCCCCAAATTTTCTGTGCTGTCAGTGTGGGAAGAATACCCTGCCGAACATTCTGGTAGCACCGAACAGTCACAGTTCAGGTGGAATCAGCAGGAACCAGTCTTGGGCAAAAGCAAGCCACTCAGCACAGCGCCGGGGGCGAGTTAAGACCCGAGCAGATGAAAACGCCCGCACAACCTGCCACACGGCTGCGATGTCTGGGTTGGGGTGGCCTCACGTGTTCGCTAAGCCCGTCAGACGGCACAATTCAGATGGCTGGGGTGCCAGGCATAAATTATGCCTCCACACCGCTCACTTTCTAGGAGGGGGCGACTACGGTCCCTGCAAACTCCTGAGGGCTGCTGGAAGGCTTGCTCAGGAAGCAAATGTGCAGCGCGCAGCGCTTCAGCGCTGGCCACCCGGCGAGTGCCAGGCGATCGGCCGCTAAGTGAGCCACACGCGTGAGGACAAATGACAAAGCAGGGCGGCGCTGGCGCCACCTGTGGGCACGCAGGCCCGTCAGCTCACACGTGCCCCGGCCTCGCCCTGCGGGCCGCAGGGTCAACTCCACCACTGGCTGCCTTTCCATGCTCTGCACTGCTCAGGAAAGGAGCCCACTTTCATTCTGGGGGGAGCGTGGGCACGGCTGCGACCCGAGACACTGCGCGCCACGGGGTGTGACATCTGTCTGGTAAGTCCCAGATGTTTCTAACTTGTCACGTTAGCCACAGCTGTTGATGAGGGTCAATGGGAACCACTCTCTAGGAGCAGTAAATGTGAACAATGTGGCCAGTCTGGTGGGGCCCCCGTTCTCCGCGTGCCCTGGACACAGCCCAGGAAGCACGATGGGAACCACCGCCGTCCTGCCCCCTGGAAGAGAACAGCAGGGATGGCTCCCGGCAGGGGAAGTGGTCTAACCCCAAGGAGCACGGCCATCACCACGGACCACATAGGGGTGCAGGCTGATGTGCGTGTGGCCTCGAAGTCCACATGTCAAGAAGCGAGAGGCTAAGTGTGTGCCCTGCGGTCCCCAAGCCTGATCCCCCAACACCTTTGCCCACCCGCCAAGGGTTCTCACTGGGACTTCTTCACAGATGCAACAGGAGGGAGAGAGAGACAGAGAAAGAGCAGGAGAACCTGCCTGATGGGGCACTTACCCTGCTTTCCCAGGAGGTGGAGCCGGCTCCCCCTTGGTTCTAACAGAAGGTCTGTGTGGGGAAGGCGTGGGAGACGGGGAGGGGGACGAGGAAAAGGACCGGGACCTAGGGAGGAAACCGGGGCATGAGGAGCGCGCACCACGGTGCCCCAGTCTGCACTCGAGCAAGCCCAGGCACAGAAAACGCTACTGCACGTCTCCACTTAGCTGTCTCAGGCTTAAAATGGATTTCAGATAGTTCTTGGTCCTTTCCTAAAACACACTAGAGGGGAAAGGAGTAGCCAGGCTGATGGGTCCTGCAGAAGGCCTGGGAGCCATGTGGGCAGGGTGGGCAGGGCACATGCTCTGCGTTGCTCAGGAAGTCCAGCAAGGACATGGTGACACAGGTAGGACAGAGGGCCAAGCGAGAGCGCTGGGCGCTGAGGCCCAGGGGGCTGGAAGGTGCAGGGTGGGGAGGACGGCCGCGAGCAGCATGAGGCTGGGGCTGGCCAAGCCCGGGAGTGTCCCTGCTGAAGCAAACAGTGACGGGCTCCAGGTTCAGGGGTCAGCAGCAGGGACGGAGACCCCCGGGGGGGGGGGGGGGGGGGGGGGGGTGGTGCGGGGAGCTGGCCAGGCAGCTCTGGAGGCCGGCCTGGCCCAGCTAATGACTCCACTGTCCCATGGTCCAGCACCACACCGCACAGGAGGCAAGCCTCCGAAAGGCTCCCGGGCTGTTGTTTCCTCCCGACTTAGAAACTGTCGTGGACAACTCCACGTTCTCAGCCAAGCAGTGGCACCAGGTAAAATAAAGTGGGGCTCCTGCAGTGACACACACTGAGGTTCTAGAGACAGAGAGGCATGGAGGAAACGCCTGGCTCTTCCACCCTGACGCTCGCTTTGCCTGGCTGGGGCTACCCACCAGGGGAGACGGGCAGGGACACCCCCACTAACTGCCAAGAGGCTACAGCGAGATGGCGCCGCCCTGTGCCACCGCCTGGTGTGCGCGTGGTCTTGGTCACTGACTGCGACGATGAGGTCTCGGGTCCAATCCCGATCGTGGCCTCCTGGCGGGGCTACAGCACCCTCTCTGTGCGGAGACAGTGGAACTGGGGGGTACGGCCTGGAGGCCCCCACGCGGGCAGTCCTCCACCTCCACCTTTCTCTGGCCTTGGGCCTCTCCTAACCAAACGCTGAATGGGGTGAAGGGGGTCTCCCCACATGGGTGTCCCCTGTAGGCAGGGCATGTGGGTGCAGGTGCAGTGCCCGCCACCTGAGCTGGTTGGAAAGTCAGAAGCAGCAGACGCAGAGCCTGAACGGTCCTGTTAGTTGTATTAATCAATGACCTGGTTCCTACATAAATGACAATGAAGAATTCTCTAAAACTCCAGAGTTTATCTATTTTCAGTGGGAAAAATACACATATTGTTTGATCTTTCTAGAAACGTCCAACAGAACTTTCTGTGAAGATGCAAATGTCCTCCATCTGGGCACTCCAAACAGGGCCCACGCACACTTTAAAATTCTAACTGAAGGAGACTCTGCATCACCACACGTGGCCAGTGGCCCACTGGACAGTGCGGGTCCACAGGACATGGCAACAGTGGCCTTCTGATTTCAGCACACCCACAACACAGGCCGCGTCGCTGCTGCTTCTGAGCCACCTCCCGACACGTGCTCTGTGCGCTGAGCCCTCAGCGCCTGCAGTCTGTTACCTGGCGATGCACCGCACATTCCTCCTCAGAAGTTACCTCGAAGCACAGCTGAGGCTGTTCTGAGAGCAGCTGAGTGCCGGGAAGGACACCGTCGAGCCCGACCGGCCACGGTGCAGGCGCCCGGGCTGCCCCGGGCCGCGCCCGGCCGCGCCCACACTCACCTGGACCGGCTGCCTGAGAACGAGCTGTGTCTGGAGGAGCGGCTGGAGTAAGAGCTGTAGGAGGAGGAGCGGGAGCGGGAGCGGGAGGAGCCGGAGCCGGAGTACGACGACGACCGCGACGAGGACCTAAGTCCAAGCACAAGGTGGGAGAGGGGCCAGTCCTCCTCCGCGCCAGCCTGGCCGCTGCTGCCGGCCTGCTACCCCGATGACGGCCACACGTCCCGCCATCCCCGTCCGTGCACACTTGCCCGCCTCCCCGCTCCCACCCGCCCTTGGGACGCCCCTGCGGGCGTGCTGCAGTCCAGTGCCCTCCTGGCAGGACTCAGGTTCAGAAAGCAAGACGTGGTACGGGTGCTCCCTACTGCTGGCGGACAGCTCCCAGGCCCCGGCCGGACAGAGCCGGGACAGGCGCGCGCCCCTGTGCAGACACACCTGCAATTTCTCTCTCTGCCCGTCTGCGTATGTAGTGAAAGCCCTGGCGACGTCGACGCTAACCTCCCCAGTCCCTGTCTAGCACGGCGGCCTCCCACCAGCCACCTCATCCCTGTTTGTTCAGACCCAGTGCACACACGGAAGCCCAAATGCACAGGAGAAAGAGAGGGGCTGACTGCATGACGGGGCTTTTACGCCGTCCTTCTGGCCTTCTGCCTCGTGGGGTCTCTCCCAGAGGGAGTGGGCGGGCTCTCTCCCCTTGCTGGCCCCCTCGCCGGGTCTGCGCTCCATTCTGGGTTGCCAGCATCCTGGCTGAGGTCAACTGTTTATTTTGGGGGTGTGAAGCCTTACTGAGGTTCTAAACATCAGTTTTGCCTGCCGCTGATGCTCTAGCACCCCAGTTACTCAGTAATTCTCTGCTGGACAAACAGATGCCTCTTTAGTCCTCCTGACCGTCCTCAGGCCAGGACGATGCAGCCCTCCGGTGGCATTTATGAACCAGTCTTTGTGACCGGCCAGCCTCCTTACCTGGAGGAATTGGAGGCAGAGGCCGAAGAGGCTGATGTTTTCCGACGCCTTCGTGCCCGGCTAGGGGAGACAGACACCCCGAGTTTCTTCTTGGGAGACTTGGACCGGCGCCAAGGGTCCTTCCACTCGTCTGCTCGCTTCACCTGCGGGCCTGCAGCGGCGGCCTCCTTCTTTGGTGGCTCAGCTTGACGGCTAAAATCACAGAAGTGTTAGCCACTCTGGGACCATCCTCTATGACAGCAGTGCTGTTCGGTGAAGGCAAACGAGAGGCAGGATGGCGGCATGAGCTCCCGCTTCAGGGGAAGCCTGACAGAGAACGAGTCGCCTACCAGGGCAGCAAGTCCTCCCTTGGGAGTGGGGCTAACTCCACAGACGGTCCCCACGTACTCATGTCCTTCCTGGAGGGACAGGTCTTTCTCCTTCATGGTAACTAACCACACCGGTACTTACTTTTTTGGGTGTAATGACTTACAGAATTCCCCACCATACTGCAAACTCTGGGAAGGACAAGTGTGGCCTTGTCCAACATGTCCTCTCTAGAGCTGGCACGCAGTGGGCACGAAACAAATACTGAGTTCAAGGGCAATAGAGTACTTGTCGCCCTCAACTTATGGCCACTAATCTTCGACAAAGCAGGAAAGAACATCCGATGGAAAAAGGACAGTCTCTTTAACAAATGGTGTTGAGAAAATTGGACGGCCACATGCAGAAGAAAGAAACGACCATTTTCTTACACCAACACACAAAAATAGACTCAAAATGGATTAAAGACCTAAATGTGAGACAGGAATCCATCAAAATCCTAGAGGAGGACACAGGCAGCAACCTCTTTGACCTTGGCCACAGCAACTTCTTGCTAGACACATCACCAAAGGCAAGGGAAACAAAGGCAAAAATGAACTATTGGGACTTCATCAAGATAAAAAGCTTTTACAAAGCAAGGGAAACAGTCAACAAAACCAAAAGATAACCCACGGAATGGAAGAACATATTTGCAAATGATGTTACGGATAAAGGGCTAGTATCCAAACTCTATAGAACTTCTCAAACTCAATACCCAAAGAACAAATAATCTAGTCAAGAAATGGGCAGGAGACATGAGCAGACATTTCTCCAAAGAAAACATCCAAATGGCCGACACATGAAAAAATGTTCAACATCATGAGCCCTCACAAAAATTCAAATCAAAACCACATTGAGGGGCACCTGGGTGGCTCAGTCGTTAAGTGTCTGCCTTCGGCTCAGGACATGATCCCGGGGTCCTGGGATCGAGTCCCACATCGGGCTCCCTGCTCCGCGGGAAGCCTGCTTCTCCCTCTCCCACTCCCCCTGCTTATGTTCCCTCTCTCACTGTGTCTCTGTCAAATAAATAAATCTTAAAAAACAAACAAAAAAACCCAACCACATCGAGATATCACTTCACACCAGTCAGAATGGCTAAAATTAACAAGTCGGGAAACAACAGGTGTTGGCGAGGATGTGAAGAAAGGGGAACCCTCCTACACTGTTGGTGGGAATGCAAGCTGGAGCAGCCACTCTGGGCAACAGTACGGAGGTTCTTCAAAAAGTTAAAACTAGAGCTACCCTACAACCCAGCAATTGTACTACTGGTTATTTACCCCAAAGGATACAAAAATACAGATTTGAGGGGACACATGCACCCCAATGTTTATAGCAGCATTATCAACAATAACCAAACTAGGGTAAGAGCCCAGATGTCCATCAACAGATGAATGGATAAAGATGTGGTGTATAAGGGCGCCTGGGGGGCTCAGATGGTTAAGCGTCTGCCTTCGGCTCAGGTCATGATCCCAGGGTGCTGGGATCAAGCCCTGCAACGGGCTCCCTGCTCAGAGGGGAGCCTGCTTCTCCCTCTGCTTCTGTCTCTCACGAATAAATAAATAAAAAAAAAAATCTTTAAAAAAAAAAGATGTGGTGTATATATATCCAGTGGAATTTTACTCAGCCATCAGAAAGGATGAAATCTTGCCATTTGCAACAACGTGGACAGAACCAGAGGGTATTATGCTAAGTAAACTAAGTCAGAGAAAGACAATCATCACATGATTTCACTCACATGTGGAATTTAAGAAAAAAACAGATGAATGTAAGGTAAGGGGGAGAAAAAGAGAATGAAGCATACCGTAAGAGACTTCTTTTTTTTAAAGATTATTTATTTGACAGAGAGAGACACAGAGAGAGCAGGAACACAAACAGGGGGAGTGGGAGAGGGAGCAGCAGGCTTCCCGCGGAGCAGGGAGCCCGACTGAGAGACTCTGAACTCTAGGAAACAAACTGAGGGCTGCTGGAGGGGAGGGGGGTGGGGGATGGACACTGGGTAGGGCACGTGAGGTGATGAGCACGGGGTGCTGTATGGAAGTGACAAATCAGTAAATTCTACTCCTGAAACCAATATTGCATTGTGTGTTAACTAACTAGAATTTAAATAAAAATTTTGAAAAAAAAAAAAGTACTGTTTCCACGTGCATTAGAAATTTCGTGAATCATCAAACCCGAGCCTTCAACAGTCCCTTTGTTCTCTTACTTAGGTTTGAAGAGACTGGTGTGATTTACGCAGAGAGTGCTGTGGTCAAAGCCCCAGAGAAGTCAGAGGTGCTCCGTGGGACAGCCGCTGACACAAGCATCAGCACTAGCGCGCCAGTGGGAGGGACTCTGCCAGGACTGAAGGGCCCTGGCCCCCGGATCCCTGTGGGGCTGCACCAGTGGTAACTGCAGGCGGAGAGGACGATCACCTGGGAGTGAATCATGGCTACGGCTGACACGTGAAAGCCGAGCTCTACGGTGACGAGCAGACCACCGGCAGGAGAAGAACCCAGGAGCCCTCCTTAACGGGGTAGGAGGCAGCCAGGCAGCCAAGTGCTCAACGGGGGAGCCCGTTCACCCTGTCTGGGAGCTCAGGGTGGAGACACAGTGGCAGCAGGGTGCCCTGTGCCCAAAGATACACCTTACAAACCCAAATATCCTCACTTAAAAAGGAGCCAAAGTGTAGGATCCCAGACAACTAGCAGTAGTTTAACACAGAGGTAGCTGCTGGTCCCATGATACATACATTTTTAATCAGTTACAAAGTTCACTGAAAAGTTGTGGAAAACACAGAAAAGTAAAACAAGGAAGTAAACAGAAATCCCGTTACCTTGTTCTCCAGAGATAGTCAACATTTAGCACTGCTGCGTTTCCTTTCCACCTGTATTCTACTTGCCACGATGAACACTCAGGCGTGCACTCACACCCCCTGCAGACATGGCTGCGACCCGCCCGGTGGCATCCGCCCCTGCAGGCATGCTCTTCCTGGACCGTGTGAAAATCCACCCCCTGTGCTAACCCGATCTCAAAATTTCTATAGTACTAGCTGTTTCTAACTTTACAAGAAACCACAACATTAAAATTACTATATATACATCTTTAGGGACGAGGTTTTCTAGAGGTAAATTCCTAAGAGATGGAATCAGTGGGTCAAAGGAAATGAACACTTTACAGGTTCTCGTAAGCTGTCAAGCATTCTCCCCAAAGTGAAAGCAATCTGCGCTCCACTGGCAGCCGGAGGGTACCCATTTTGCCTGTCGACAATCCTGGGGTCCTGTGTCACCAGGGAAGCCACCAGATCAAGCCCCAACTGTAGCAACGGCACACACGGAACGGGCTCCTGGCGCCTCCTGGGGCAGCTGTGGCTGGAGGGCTGCCCCGGGCTGTGGCGGCACCCCCCACCAATGGCCACTTTTCCAGGAAGCTCTTCATGTATGGAGGAACCCTTCCCTGTCCTGCATCTGCCCCCGGCTAGCTGCTTTTGACTGCGTTTGGTGGCGGCGTCTGACGAGCAGTCCTTCACTCTGAGCCATATATGCTTGCGTTTTTCTTCTGGGTGATCTAGAGTTCCCCTCCTTTCTTTTTGTAAAGCTGTACTCGTCGGTGTGCCTGGGATCTGTGGTTGCAGCACACAGCACTGCCGGGAGAGCGCGAGGTGCAGCACAGCAGCAGTGGCAGAGCCCGCACCGCCTCCACCAGGCTTTCGGTGGGAATGGCGTGGAGCTGATCAACAGCACCTGTTTACCCATGTCTTCTTTCACATGGGCCAGCAAAGGCCAAGAGCTCTCTTCCTAAGAGGCCCTGCCTTTCCAGGGCAGACTTCCAGCTGCTGTGGACTCTCCACCACCAGCATCTGAGCGTCTCGGTTGACACTGGGTTTCACCGTGGCCACCATCTACTTATATTCCATCATAATATACAAAAACCGTCACCTGTTGACATTTGCTGAACCACCAGTGAGTTCCAGCTTGTTACTTGCCAAAAATCCCACACCAGAAGCAATAACCAACATTTAAAAATGCCCTGAGGGGGGAGCCTGGTGGCTCAGTGGGTGAAGTGTCTACCTTCGGCTCAGGTCATGATTCCTGGGTCCCGGGAGCAAGCCCCACATGGGGCTCCCTGCTCAGCAGGGAGTCTGCTTCTCCCTCTCCCTCTGCTGCTCCCTCTGCTCGTGACCTCTCTGTCAAATAAATAAAATCTTAAAAAAAAAAAAAAAGACACTCTTAACTATAGCAACAAACTGAGGGCTGCTGGAGGGGAGGTGGGTGGGGATGGGGTAACTGGGCGATGGGCATTAGGAGGGCACGTGACGGAATGAGCACTGGGCGTTATATGCAGCTGATAAATTACTGAACACTACATCTGAAACTAATGATGTACTATATGGTGACTGACTGAATTTAAATAAAACATTTCAAAAATGCCCAAAGGACACACTAAATTGAAGCATAAAATCCCCGTTATGCCGGCTCTAAACCCCAAGAGTGATTGCCACATAAGCTCGTAAGTGTGTCCTCCTGGAAAAGTAATCCCGGAAGGAAGTGAAACTTGTCAATTCCAGCCGGTCCCAGGCCAGCCCGGAGCTGCCTGCATTACTCTCCCCCTAAAAATGCTGGTGTGGGATTCTTCACCAGGTTTTCATTAGTCATCAGAACGGCCCACCTCTGCCAGTCTGCAGCCCCTCTGACAAGGCAGCAGAGCAGATGGAAAGCAAGGGACAGACTCCTCATGTCACTGTTAACTGTACTGGGAGCTCCGGGTGCAGGCAGGGGGACAAAGGACAGAGTGCTGTCCCCATCACAGCACGGAAAAGAAATCCACGGAGGCTGCAGACAGGTGACCAAAGCAGGCTGCTGCCATCTTTTAGA